TTTTAAAATATGTACATGCAAACAGAGAGTGAAAAATTACTGATCTGATAGTGTAAGGAGTAGGATGTCTTGCTAATAAAATAAGATTAGTATAAGATAGTAATGAGAATGGTCGAAGTGAATCGAGAGGCGATAAACCTAATGGTGGTAGTAATTCACTTGCCCTGGCCATGCAGGATGAAGAACGGACACCTCAAGAAGTGCCTCATAAGATAAAAGGTGGATTTCAGAAAGTTAAAATCATATTAGAATAATGATAAAAATTTTCTACTGTTTTGAATCGGAAAAGTAATCAAGAGTAGTTTCGTTATTTAGTGAATAAGATGGAATATGGTGAATAAGTGTCACCATAAGAATGTTAAAGAGTCTCCATTATTTTTAAGTGAAGAAGTTAGATGAAGTAGTTTAGTTACTATGTGGAAGAGTTGAAGTATTGTGAACTGATGTTAACATAAGAATGATAAACGATTCAGGGATGTGGTTATTAGTTTAGAAAAGTTCGAAAATAAGTATTCGATGACAAGTTTATAAGATAAATGAAATCAGAGTCATGAATTTGAAACAAAGGAATAGTACTATGTATAAGCAAGAGTGTGGATATGATAAGGGTTGACATTCTAGATGTAAAGAGTTAGCGTTGACTAACAGGATTATGTGATAACAATGTATTAGAGTTATCAGATTTTAAGATATTGTCAGGTTAAGATAACCAAATATGAAGTGGATCTGGATACAAGCTAATGATTAATAAGAAGAGTTAAAAATGGGTATATTGATGATCAGTTTATAAGACAAAGGAAGTTAGAATGTTGAGTATGAACAACGGAAACTACATGGTGTATGAGAATAAATGTGGATTTGATAAGTTAAATAAATTATTTATAGGTTAATTTCGATTGGAAAGAATTTATATGAATGGTTCGATGAAGGTTTATACTTTAGATTAGAAGAACTGGTGTTGACTAATAGAGTTATATGATAATAAAGTTTATTAAAGTTAAGGATTAGAAGATGATGTCAGAGTAACCTAACTAAGTATGATGTGGATTTGGATATGGTGGTGTATTTTGAGTATGTAAAAGAATATAAGAGTTTGTGTATCCAAAGGAAGCTACATATAGTAGTAGAATATGTATATTGTAAATAGAATAAGGATTTTGTATAAGAACAAGATTTTGGGCAATTCATATGGATTATAAGAGTTATAAAGATAAGTATAAATGAAATTAAAAGAGTATGAGAGCACAGGTGAAATATATGGTTTAGTTATGTTATAAGGAGATCTTGATTATGAAAGGATAAATGGAGAAAGAAATGAAAATGATAGAGTTTAAAGGATCAAGTAAGATAAGAGTTATATTGAGATGTAGATTATAAGTTTGACTAGAAGTAAGAAAGGTACGTCGGGTGATATGAGAGATTGTTGATTATGCAAAGTGTATGTTTTAATCATATATGATGAAGATTTAAGGTTATGTTTCTTGGACAAGTAGACGTAGTCAGAGAAATGAAGAATGAATTATATATGTATTAAGGAAGTTTTAGAGGTAGTCATGTGATGATGAAACAAAAAGTTTGGTTATTATTGCAAAATAATTAAAGATTGATAAGGAATTTGATCGATTTATGAGTTTGAGTAATAATAATTGATGCTATTGTCTACATGATAAATGACAGTAGAGGGAGATATTAAAAAGAAGGGTAGTTAAAGGATTAAAGGAAGGAAATGCAAGTTTCCGATAGTGACATGAAAGATTAAATTGAGAAGGTAACATGAGAATATAAATAGGATATGTGTAGACAATATCTTCATCTATTAGTGCAATAAAAATTCGAGGATGAATTTTCTTAAAAAGAGTGGAGATTTGTAATATCCCAAAATCAGGGTTAGTGACTAAAATGGAATTTTGAAACTTTGAGGTATGATTTCAAAAGATTATAAAGTTCAGGGACTCATTTGGAAATATTTTTGTGAGGGATTATTGGTAATTATTAAATGAAGTAAAGGGTAAAATGGTCATTTGGCAAGAAAAGATTTTTTTTATTTTTCCCTTTTTAAGGGAGTGAACCACGTAGAGATGGGGAGAAAGGAAGAAAGCTCTAGAGTCTTGGTTGGTCTTCTTCTTCTTCTCTTCATGTGGCTTCAATGGTAAGGTGAGTGAGATTTAACTTAAATGTTTCTTTAATTTTAAGATTTCTTTTAATTCCTAGAGTGATAAGAAATCTTAAGGGAAGTTTTAAATGGTTTAAAACTCCAAGATGAACAAGTTATGAGAGATTAAGTAAAAGGAGTTTTTAAGTGAATTATTGAAATAGAAGGAGTTAATAGATTTTGAAGTTGAATTTTACTTGTCAAGGGTCTAATTAAGAAGTTAGAAGCAATAAAATTGGAATTAGAACATGTTGAAAATTTGGTGTAATTCTTGATTTATATATGGAGAATAGGATTTTAAGGTTAAGGACATATTGGATGAATAAAAATTGGTTTATATATGTATAGTTGAGTTAAGTGGATGAAAGGGGTTCAAACATGAAGTATTTGAGTTGAATTGAGTGAATTTTCGAGTTTAAAATATGATTTCTAGGTAAGGGGTACTGATACCATATGAATAGGTACCGATACCCTAAGACCATTTTAAATGAATATCTTCATAATTTATCGATACATAGAGGGGTAGTACCGATACCTTGGGTATCGATACCCACCGGCAGGTAACAATACCTGTGAATATCGAATTTAATTTGGGTACCGATACCCTCCTAAAAGGAAAATATGAATTGTGCTCATTAAATTAGCTTGAGTTATTAACATCGAATTATAATGTTTAGGCTTCTGATATTGTCTTGGAAATTATATTTACGTGGATACTGAGCCTAAACAAGTTCCAAAACGGCCATCAAGTTAATATTCGATCGAAAGAAAAGAAATCATAAAAGTGGATTGGGAACTTAGTGAGGCCAAGGTGAGTGAATAATATAGGTATAATTTAATGGAAGTAAGGCTTGCGATAAGTCTATTTCCTATAGTATTATGCATGAATTCATGAACATGAGCATGTGTTTGTATGAGTGTCTGAGTTATATGTGATTATATGTATGTAACATGATTTGCATGAATATATGCTGGTGTAATAAGTCATAGGAACCAATATAAGTGATTTATATGTTTACATAAGTTATATGATATTGATATAATGAATTATATGAATATGTGATATATGAACATAAGAGATTAAGTGAATGAACATAGATGATGAAATGATGATATAAGAATAAGATATGAATCATATGATATGGGTTATATTGAGAAATATATGTGGACAAGATATGATATATATGTTTATGTGAAACCATGCAAAGTGATATGAGCTATGTGACATATGAATATGAAATCATATGAGAAGTGACATGAATTACACGAAAAATAAACTACGTGATTACAAGTATATGTGATTTATATGAAAATGTTATACGTGCAAGTGATCTACGTGTGTATGTGAAATGATAAAAGATAAATGCTCATGTTATGTGATATGAGAGCTAGGGGTATAGTTGGAATGTCAAGAGTCGAGGGTCTACGCGGTCATTCGGGACATATATGTATCCTTTGGAACATCTATGAGGTCCTTTGAGACACATACTTGGTCCTTGGATTATGTATATTATTCTTAAGGAATTTCTATGTGGTCATTCGGGACATAGTGGTCCTTCGGGACATTTCTACGCGGTCTTTCGGGACAAATTCATATGCCCTAGTGGGACCTTATACGAGCTGTGGTGATAACATATGTGCATAACCTCTATAGACTTACATATCTGTAGTTTTCACATGTGTACATGGGTTATCTAAAAGATATTATATGAGTAAATTCTATGTGATGTTATGTGTTTGTGTGGTGATATGATATGATATGTATAAATGATAAATATAGGATTATACGCTAAAAGGAATTAAGGATAGTAATATGATAATGATAGGAATGAAGATAATTATATGCATGTGTGGATTTGATGTTTGAACGAATATATGCTTGTGTATGATATGATAATAGTAATTGTTCATGCATGATTACAAGTTAGAGTTTACATTATATGTTTATTCGCCTCACTAAGTCACAGATTTAGCGTGTGAATGTTTCACACGTAGGTTCCGGAAAACGAGAAGAGAAGCTAAGAGGAGTAAGACGGGTTAGCATCTCCTTTACGAAGTTCAGATCAGAAAAGAAATGGAAATGATTATATATTTTGTTATATTGAATATAGTTGACATATACTATAGAATTGAGTTGAATACGCTCTGATATGTTTTGTAAAACCAATTGATTTTAAATAAATGAAAAGTAATCATTTTTTTGAATTATGAATTTGAATTTTAGTTATTTGTAAAGAAAAACGTTTGAAAAGTTAATGTGACAGCTCGAACTCGTATTCGGGTCGGATACGGGTTGGGGGTGGTACATAATTTTGATTATCAGGTAAACCAATGTAGCAACGGAAAGAAGAAACAAAAAACCACCAGTCTTTTAGCTGAAATGCAAAATAAGACAAAATAAAAAAATGAGAATCGATTGGTTTATGAATCCATCTAGCGGTCTCAACGTTAAAGGGAGTTTTTTCTCATTTGAGATCTTGGATTTAGATATTTATATTTGTAAAGAGTGCGTGCATTTTTTGAACATATACTACTCTTATAATCACTTTAAATTATTCAAAAAAATCAATTAGTTTACGTTTCAATGACTTGTTGTCAACCAATTTCCTTTTAGGTAAGTAATGGTTGTTTTCACGTTTTATACACTTTCCGTAGACATCATTAAAATATGATTTTATCATATTTCAATTGATAGGTTAACATCTAACTTAGACAATCATCAATTTTTAAACAGAAAATGAAGAATTTAGAATATATAAATAGTTAGATGATCATTTTATAACTTTTAATAGTCACGAGATTGAACAAAGTAACGTTCTATAATCAATATCATTTGCTCGCTTTACTTTAGAAATCAAACAATCTACTATGCAATTACAATAATAAAACAAGATACGAGTAGCGAAAATAATGCCACGGTTAATCATCGTGCATTTATCTTTTTCTTAATAAAACTGAAGAAAAATAGACTGAAACAAATGAATCAAAGTGGGATTATTGTTTTATATGTTAAGAGAATAAAATGAAATTGAAATGTGTAATTGGGGATTAACTAACAGCCTCCCAAGTCTCTTAATGAAGAAAAAGAAGTATTATGGGGAGCATGGCGTAGCCCTAGAGAGAGTGATACATCACCAGCCGCGGTCCCCAACCTTATGAGAGTATAACCAATGTCAGTGTTACCACCGGTTGTGGTCCCACAATCTGCAGCAACACGACACGTGTCCTCAGCGTCATCTTTCCTCTCGTTACTGGTGGTGGTGAAAGGCTGGGAAATGGGTGGCGCCACGTCGGAAGCAGTGGTGGTGGTGGGGTTGGCTTGGTTTTCCGAGAAGTTTTGGAATGAAGGGTCGCTTTTAGTGGCATCGATTTGGGATCTTATGCCTGCTGGTGTGGTTGAAAGCGTCGATATTTGTGCATTGTTGCTCTCGTCTGGGTTCCTTTCTCTATTACTGTTGTTATTATTATCATCTTCCCCCTGTTTTGTTTCTTGTTGGTACATCTCCTCCACCATGGGTTTCCACAACCGAACCCTGGCATTTATGAACCAATTCGAGACCTGCAATCAAACACATAACCAAAGTTAAATATTTCGATGCCAAGATTAAGCACGTATTCATTATGGATAGCTTAGTTAATGTGAAAAAAATATCTTCATCTCTATCATATGTGGGGGAAGCTGCATTTAAGAGTTCCGAATCACTGTCTTTTTCTTTTTCTTACTGAGACATAAATTATGAAAGACATGGTACTAGAATTAGGTGTTTGTCTTTTCCTATCTATCATACTTTTGCAGCCACCATTTTGTCTTTTTCATGCATGCATGAAATCAATATAAGCATGGTACAACAAAATTAATCCAGCTTTAGCATGGGCTTTATCGTGTGGTTGGAGCCTGGAGGATGTCAATATGACAGAGAAAGGGACAGAGAGGGATAGGTTAAAGCTGCAAACTTTGACGTCCCATCTCTTTGTGTACTTTGTCTCTGCCCTTGATCTGTTAAGTTTCAGTATTTGTGTCTTTTACTCAGAAATCAGAATCTTAAAGAAAAAGAGTGATCTTTATGTCAAAACAGTGAATGAATAAGATAACTCAAATCCATGCAAGTTCTTCTAAGCTTACACATGTTTTTTCTCTTATTCTTCTTACAAGTCCCCATAATCATATATCTTGAGGTGGACTTAGAAGTGAAAGAGAGGACTAATACATTACCTGATTTCTGGATAATCCAGTCTGTCGAGCCAACAGGTGCTTATCTGCATCGCTTGGGTACCTGAGATAGAGACCAGAAAATGACATCAGAATTCTTGCCCTAAACCATGTAAACACTCTCCCATGCCATCTCTTTTATACTCAGCTTCACACGCCATTCACATTATTTTAGGTTAAGATTCAACTTATAAAGATTTGATGAATTTATATAATTATAAGGACAAAAATTGATTATTTAATAAAAATATAAAAAATATATAAATTATATAAAAAATTAAAATTTAAAAAAAAAGGATTATCGGGTCAGCCCGTTTAAGTCTATCCTGATTGAACCTTTGGGCGTGAGAATCTAAAGAATAAATATCAGCAGCAGTTTTGCAGAAGTAATCAAGTGGACAACTTCCTCTCACTATTTATGTGCATATAACTTCCTTTAACAGAAAAGGAAAAAAGAAGATTTTTTGTTTGGGTATATTTATGAGACACTCTGTATGAGAGGGAAAGCATGAAGAATGCCTGTCATCTGTTAAATTATGCTTTAATAAAACTTGTTTTTGAGCAACTATTTTCGGGGTGTGTAATTGATATATAGTGTTATATCATGAGGAAAATGAAGGTCTTTTAACATCTTTTTAATGGCTGACAAGTATGACAATAGAAAAAAAGATGAATTTATTAAACCCCTCCCCTCACTTATCTATATTCATTAAGAAGATACATATCTAGTGTTAGATCAGTGTAAAATAACTTCTAATATTTAACTATATAATACTTTAATTGTTATTTTTTTGAAACATTTTTACTTTATCTTTTATTTTATGACCAAAAAAACATTAATATTTGATTAAATAGTTATTTTGACTCCTAATCTATTTTCAAGTCTTTTCATTCTAAAAATAAAATATTAAAAATCAAAATATTTTTAGAAAATAAATAAAAATTAAAGTGATTATTTAATTAAACTAGGTAACGTACGGGTGAAGAAAATGCTCGAAAAGCCAGGCCCTTAAGATGTTGACCGAACGTTCAGGCAGGCCCCTTTGGGGTCTCCAAGCTTCATGTTCCATCATACCCATTTGATGGAACGATCTTTGCTGTCGTAAGCTTTGGTCCAACATCCTCAGCCTCGGTGTCTCTCCTTTGGTTATTACGCCTGAGCTTCCTGCTCCATCTTTCTCCCCAACCATCTCACAACTGTGTCTCAATTGTGCTGATATTGCATCTTTCAAGCACCTAAAGTGCCTTGACATTGCCTTGTGTGCAAGGGCAGTGTAAGGCACTGCTGCCCCAAACCCCATCACCAGATCAAATGAGTTCACCACCATTTGCATTTGTTCACTGTAATGATTGTATCTCCTCTCCACCTGCCAAACCATAAAAACATCACACCATAAGTTCAAGATAAAGTCAATGAATATACAATCAATCAGAAGGAAGTAGAGGAAGAGATTACATGCCTCTTCAAGCATGGATAAAAGCTTGACCTTCCTTCTTTGATGTTCAATTCTATCAGCTGCTGATACAAGAGGGAGATCCTTTGTTAATGAAGAAGAACCACCTCCACCGCCGCTACTACCAGGATTAGAATTAGGGTTTGTGTTATTTCTACCGGACTTGTTCTTCTTCAACTGGCCTCTTCCAACACTGCAGAATTCTTCCAACAATTCTTGAGCTGCTTTGACATACTTTGAATTTCTTAATACATTGACCATCCCTAATGAGGATCCGAACCCAACATGAACCTCATTGTTTTGTCCAGCTCCACCTTGCAAATGCATTGCCTGATGATGATGACCGCCCAAATTCATGTACTGCTGATTATAATACAGTAAACCGCCATCTCCCATTCTCAATCTTTCAGCCTTGGCAACCTCCAAGTGTTGCAAGGAAGATGATAAAGATAGTGAAAGGCCTTGACTTTCTACAACAATTCCAATTTCGTTTAGATTGTTGAGTTGGAAATCAGTGTCGCTTCCTCCTCCATGAGCAGTATCAGGAACCCAAGTAAACTGAGGACCTGATACATTAAACCCTTGAAGGGAAGTAGGTGGATTTGGAAGCAACATGTGAAGAGTATTAGAAGAAGTTGCTGCAGTGGGAGGAGGAGATGGTGATCTTTGCTGCGGATTCATCAAGAAAAGATGCATGGCAGCTGCCGAGTCGCCATTAATGCTTGGTAGCTGCTGCTGAGCTAAACTGTCACGGTTAATGGTACTCTTTGCTTCATCTAACTGTCCCACAGGGCCCAAACCCCCAACTACAGCTTTCTTGTTGCTATACCAGTCGTTGGTATTACCTGGGATTGGCTGTACATGGTGGTCTAGTAACTGGGTCGATGCAGCGGAGGCGGCGGCTCCAGCACCTGAAGGGAAATTGAACATTTCTGATAACATACCTGATGTTTCATAAACCGGGTGAGCACTTGATTCTTCCTCTTCGATCCCTACTAATGGTGGAGATGGCGGCTCAAAGCCTTCAACTCTTAGTTTATCTCTCCGGATCTGCTGTTCTGAGTGTTGCTGCTGCTCTTCTTGGTGGCTTTTGGCTCTGAAGATGCCAGCTGCTTGGTGGTAATCTTGAGACATAGCAGAATAATTGCTGTTGTCTTGGAATAATGGAATTTGATGGGGAACCTTTCTGAAGCGTTGAGATTCTTGAGAAAGAATTGATTCGACGGGTGGTGGCGTTGCTATTTCCATATCAGTATCTTCCTCATCATCATCATCATCATCATCATATCCGTTTGTCAATTCCCTTCACCTTCTTGCTGTTCAATTCAATATTCATGGATCGGTAACCCACAAACAAAAACAACACCTATCATAAAAAAAAAAAAGAGAGATCAAATTCTCTCAGTTTCAACTTTGGTTTTCATATTCAAGTTTCTTGTTCATGTATATATATATATACACACACACATGGCTCTTGTGTAATTGAAAGCTTCTTCAATTGCCTCCTCTCTTTTCCTTTCATTTCCTTTCTCTCTCTGCAGATTTATTATTCCATTAATTATTCCTTTTCAAATTTATGAATATAAGGAAAGAGGAGGAATGAAAACGGAGGGCGGTCTGAGAGAGAAAAAGCAGATAAATTCACTTTCTCACTGCAAATAACTTTAGCCTCCACAGGCAGAGAGAGAAACCGGAAAAGATAGAAAACCAAAGATGTCGTAATCGGTTTTCGTCCGGGCACGAATTTATTTGTTTGGCGGGAAAAGTGATGTGAATAAATGGTTTTGAAAATAATTTGGGAGTCGCCATCGGCCTTTTGGGTCAGGTAGGTCGAATACCTAAAAATTATTTTTTTAAAAGAGTTTTAATAAAACACCAATTAAAAAAATAAACTTATCTGCGTTTATAACCAAAATTCATTCTTTTAATAATAAAAAGGGATTCGTGGTCGGTTACGTTTAGGGAAGGATTAGCACCCCTACAACGCCCAAAATTGGTACTTTTTAATTATAAATTGTCTCTATTATTAAAATTTTAAAAATTCAAAAATATATTTAATTTATAATTCTATTATTTCAAAATTATATAAAAAAATATTTATTTATTTAAAAATATCCGAAAAGAACTTCTAGGTGCCTTAAGACAGCTCTTTTCTTTGATATTGATAAATATTAATTTAAATAATATTGTTTACTTTTTAATTTTAAAATATCAGAATAGGACATCCAGTTGTATTAAGACTGTCCTTTTCTTTGATGTTAAAAATAAATATTTAAAAATTACTATTTATTATATATTTATGAATATAAAAATATTTAACAATATAATAAAATAAAAATACAAATACTATTAAAACAATATATTTAAAAACAATAAAATAAATGAAAACATATAAAACAACTGACTAAATTATAATAAAAATAAAATTAAAAATCTAATTCATAATTAATCAAAATTATAGGGATTTAATATGTTATTTCCTTATTTTATTTTTTTGGTGACTAAAATAAAATTATCTAAAATTCAGATATTAGAATCAAATAAATTAAAAATATAAACTAGGGATTAAAATATTATTTATTAAAATTAAGGGATTAAATCTGTAATTTATCCTAAATATATTATTTTAATATGAAGGACTAAAATAAAAGAAATTAAAATTCGAAGACTGAATTAAAAATATTATAAATTCAATTTAGTGACTAAAATGTAAAGTTTACAAATACGGGGGACTGCGGACGAGGTTTAACTATTTCATAATTACGCGCATAGTCCTTCCTGAAACGACGTCGTTCGGGAAGGACTATATATAGTCCAAACCGGCTGGCCCTTCGGGCCAGCCATTTCATTTCCTTTTTTTTTTTCTCTCAAGCAGAGAGAGAGCCAGAATTCTCTCTGGCCTCTCTCTAGATTCCCTCACCGGAGGGAATCCGGCAGCCGTCTGCCGCCGTGAATTCTGCCGCCGACCACCGCCTCCGGTGGTCGGAAATTCCCCAAATTCACCTAAAACGTAGATCTAAACACCCTAAGACCGAATCCAACCTTTGTTTCCCCAAAAAGACTCCTAATCGGAGTAAATCTATGAAAATACCTTCGGTATTTTCGGTTCTCCGGCGATGTTTAGTGCTTCCGGCGATGGTCAAGGCTTCCTTGGTAAGCTTCTCTTCCTTTTCTTTCTCTTCTGTTTCTTTGCTACTGATTGTTGTGGACTGGGATCGTTGGTAGTTTTGTATCTCTCTCTGTTTTGTTTTTCTTTTCCCTTTTTTTTTGTCTCTGTGTCTCTCTGTCTCTCTCCGGGTTTTTTTTTTCAGGTTCGGGTGGTGGCTTTTATAGCCACCACCGTTGTAGCCGTCAGACCGGTCCGAAGAGGGGGTCTCGGTGAGTCACCGGACTACCAGTGGTGACTCACCCCGTAGCCTTGCATGGACGGCTGGCGTTGATCTTCTAGAGTCTTCATTTGGGACGTGGCAGCGGCGGCGAGAAAGTGTCGGCAGCCGCGTGAAAACTGGGGCGACGCCGCGTGGCCCTATGGTATCAAACCCTAGGGTTTCCCTCTGGAGCCATCTGGACCGTTGGATCGTGCCAGATCCAACGGTTGTGATGAGGCGGCTGGTTTAGATTAGGGTTAGGAAACCCTAACTGGAAACCCAAATGTTTAGGGTTTCTGGTTTGATTTGGACCGGTTCTAGTTTGTTTGTAACTGGGCCGGTCCAGTTGTAATTGGTCTGTAATTATTATTTATATATATATGTTTAATATATATTTAATAATAATAATAATAATAATGATAATAATAATAATAATAATAATAATAATAATAATAATAATATTAATAATAATAATATGGATAAAAAATTAATATCTTCAGCTGCCCCTCTTTGCTCATTCTTGTGTTAACAAGAATAGGGCAAAGATGAAAAGATAATAAAATTTTTTTATCCATTTTGACTTTACTATGATCATAATGAAGATATTGAATAAATTCTTCTCTCTCTCCAGATAAGTTCTTCTTATTATGAACTTTCTGCTGGGGATGATGATGACCTCCTTTCTGTGATAGAGTCATTCAAAAGGTTGAATAAGCTCTTGATGAGTTCTTCTCATTATAAACTTTTTCTAGAAAGGCTGATGCTAATCTATCTCCTTCTGTGATAGCATCAAACAAAGGTTGAACAAGCTCTTCTCATTATGAACTTCTTCTTCCTTCTTCAGATGAGTTCTTCTCATTATGAACTTTCTCTGGAAAGGCTGATCCATCAATTGATGAATTCAGGTGAAAGGTTGAACAAATTCTTCTCATTATGAACTTCTTCTTCCTTCTTCAGATGAGTTCTTCTCATTATGAACTTTCTCTGGAAAAAATAATCCATCCAGTGATGAATTCAGATTAAAGGTTGAACAAATTCTTCTTATTATAAACTTCTTCTTCCTTCTTCAGATGAGTTCTTCTCATTATGAACTTCTCTGGAAATGTCAATCCATCAATTGATGAATTCAGGTAAAAGGTTGAACAAATTCTTCTCATTATGAACTTCTTCTTCCTTTTTCAGATGAGTTCTTCTCATTATGAACTTCTCTGGAAAAGCTAATCTTTCAAATGATATATTTGAATCTTTGCTAAAATCTTTGAAATTCCTGTTAAAAATTCAACAAGAATAAAAATGAATGAAAATGCATCTATTTTTGCAAATGCCTAAATATGATGCATGAATATTAAGTTGTTTTGATTTCAGACTGGTGAATTGAGTATTTCTTCAATTGTAAAAACCCAATAGATCTGTCTTCTTCAAATCAGAGAATCTATCATCTTTGACAAATGTGGATGTAGATATAATGTCACAAAACCTCTTGAGAATAAAACTCAATAGTATAAGCTCTTGAAAAGCTTGCATTCAGGCAACATGTTGATTCTGATAACAAACTCATCTGATTATGAAGCAATCTTTCAGGATGATTTCACAGATATTGTTAGTTCTTCTGATATCGAGGAAATCATGAATTCTGATTCTGATGAGGAGAGTAAACTGTTATACTTGACAAAAATGAGATTCTCAGAGGCTGAGGCTTCAAATAACCCTGGAGAGATGTGGTTCAGATTCATCAACTGCAGAATTGCCAGATTTTATATGTGCTGCTCAAATGGCTAAAGCTGCTGACGTACTTCTTTCAGTATAAGATAGGAAGCCATTATGCAATGATCACAATTACAAGAAAAGGCGAAACTTGGGCTATGATTTTTGGGAAAGGAATAAGCAAAAGAAGCTTGAAAAGAAGCTTTTTAATGAAGACGATCATGCAGTTCATCTTTTAATTCCAATGATTGGTTCTGTAGTTCTTACCAAACCAAACCAGATCAGATAACTCAAAGAACACTTCCAGAAGATGCTATGAGCACATTCATCCTCCAAATTCAATGATTGGTTCTGCCAAACCAGATCAGATAACTCAAAGAACACCTCCAGAAGATGCTATGAGCACATTCATCTTCCAAATTCAATGATTGGTTCTGTCCAACCAGATCAGATAACTCAAAGAACACTTCCAGAAGATGCTATTGGCAAATTCATCTTCTAAATTCAATGATTGGTTCTGTCCAACCAGATCAGATAACTCAAAGAACACTTCCAGAAAATGTTATGGAGCACATTACATTTGTTCCAGTTAATGTTTGGACTAGGATCACAGTGCTTATTCGATGTAGAGCCAGAATTTGTAGATTCGAAGCATTTCCATGCTACTATACTGAAAAGGGCTATATTCATAATTCTGCCAATTAAGAACAGATTTTCTCTTATTCTGCTTCCTCCATGTGCTGATGTTTTTCCATTGACAAAGAAATGGTGGCTTTCATGGGATCCAAGAACAAAGTTGAACTGTTTATAAACATGTACAGGAAGTGCCAAATTGACAGAAAGGATCTGTAAGGCTCTTGAAGCTTATGACAATGAGCCACCTTCGAGTATCCAGAAGTATGTTCTTGATGAATGCTGAGAATGTAATTCAGTATGGGTTGGAAGGAATAAAGTTGCTCCACTTGAACCTGATGAGGTGGAAATGCTTCTATGTTTCCTTAAAAAACCATATACAAGGATCTGTATAGAGACATATTTCCCAGTGATATCAATGTCTTGTTTCTTTTTGCTGGAATCAGTGCTGCAAAGATCACCTTCTATTGTCTTAGTATATTTTTGAAAACAGATGTGCAAGAACTGAATGGTGATCGGTTGGAGCAATTGATGAGTAGATTTGGCGGATTCGACCTTGTTGTCGGTTATA